GGCCTTTTAAAGAGTGACAGAAAACGGTGCTTATCTCTGAAAAAAAAAAATCAGTTTAGTATTACTTTAGGGTTCTCTCCTTCACTATTTTTCTTGATGCAACTTTGTCGATAGAGCAATTTGTTTTCTTCATTCTTTATCTTTCCCTGAAGGATCTCTCCCTGCTTCTATTAACTTATTATACAGTTTTTCACCTACTAAGACATATGATACTAGGCAACGATTGGTACTAGGAGACCTGGTGGAGACAAAGATAAAGCTTTCTACTCCAGTAAAGAGTTACAGTCTCAGAAACCCACAAGGGCCAGTCCATCCTGCCCTACAGGGTCACCATGAGTCAGAACTGACTCAAGGGCCGTGAGTTTTGAGTGTATTGGTACTAGAAGACCAGCCTTTCCTCGACAGTCCAAGATTGGCATATTAGCTGACGTGTTCCCACTTTGAGTATGGCTTTGTGACAGGCCAGAATCTAGGAGTCAATTTCTGTATCTTTTAAGCCATTTTAGAGAGTTGACTGCATGCTGTACCCTCATAAGGCCCAGAATAGTGCATGTGTATCAGGTTGCATGGGTAACTAGATATAATGAAAATATCCAATTGACAAGGATAATTCAAGAGAGGCTTCAAAATATGAGGAGATTTCAAAATGTTCCTGGAAAAATCCCATTATTTTGTCTTTCTAATTTTCCACAAACATTTTTGAAGCCCCTTCATAATTAGATCTATTTAGAACATAGAGACCTTTTCCTAGCTACCAGCAGTCTCTACAACCCTAAAACTAGAAGAACTACATGGTGCCCAGCTACAAGTACCAACTAGTGTGGAAAAGATCACATTAGAAGGCCCATGGTAGAGTAGGAGAAAAACAGGGAATAGAACTCAAAATCATAAAGGAGGCCAGGCTTATTGGTCAATTAGAGACTGGTATGGCCCTCAAGACTATAAGCTCTTAATCACCGTTCAGGTCTGAAATGGAATCCACCTCCCTATTAGAATAATCAAACACTTAACATCAAAAGGACAGCTTTTACCCAAGGACAAAGGGTTAACAAGGAGGAGGAGAAGAAATAAATAACCCTGGGAGGAAATGAGATAGGTGATGGTATATTGAGGGGGATTGCTATGAGTGAACTGAAACAAAATGTGGATAAATATATGGTTCACCCCTACGCTGATGATCTGCTCTGTAAATCTTTACCCAAATCACAATAAACCAATTAAAAAAATAAAAGACACATGAAAAACGCCATAAGCAAATCTTAAACAGAACATTATAAACTAACATGTGTATTGAAGCCTCAAAATAAAGCAACAGGAAAGACTGCACAGGAACCTTGGAGTATAGTGAGCTCGTGTTATGGGAGAAGAGCAACTGAGAAACGGGAATGAGGACAGTTGGGCAACACGGAGAATGCAATCGAGGTCACTAAACTGTAGGGGCAGAAACTGGAATTTGGTTCCATGTTACTGGGTATATTCTCAACAGGACAACAACTAAAACATCAACGTTAGCGATGTATCTGTGGAGTAGGCCTAGGAAAGCATAAAAATACGTAGAAGGTTAATCAAGCTTCCTCTGCAAGAAGCACTAACGAGCTGATGGTAAAGATAACCACGCCATTCAAATATTGAACTACAAGCATGAATTGGCTAGTTAAAAATGATGAAGCAGAAATGAGCTCATGAGGAACTCATATTATTTGACCTCACTCGTGAAATTAAAACCACACACATACACATACACACATAAAACCACACACATATACATACACACATAAAACCACACACACACACGGAAATACTCATATTCAAATTGGAATATATTGTTTTGGAAATGATAACAGCTATTACAAGAAAATGATGAACAAATGGATAATCTTTATCATCATACATAGCATTTCTCAACGTGGTTTCGTGGCCCACAGAGTAAGAGGCCAAGGGACCACGTGACTGACGTGGCCACTGGCTGAGGAGAGGGTTGCTGCGGACAATGACTGTACCTTTAATGGTTTCTGATTCTGGTTTGTAGTAACCTGCTAACGTTGCTAAAAGCCTCCCTCATTTGTGAGTATTCTCTGTGAGCTCTGTGCGGCCAGTGCAGTGAATTTTGGAAGCCGCCGAGAGGCTGGGTGCTGTGAGAGGAACAGCGGGTGTTAGAACCAGGGAAAGAAGGATGAAGGTGGAGGCATGTCTGACCTCCGTCTCTTGGCAATAGGCCTTCGGCCGGTGAGGGGTTGGATTCTTCTTCTGCATATAGATCAGAGGAGGGAGGAGAAAGGAGGAATCGATCACAATGATCAATATATAACCCACACACCCACCCACCCCCAGGGGGACAAATGACAAAAAAGTGGATGAAGGAAGACAGTGGTCACTGTAAAACATGGGGGAAAATTATAAATTATCAAGGGTTCAAGAGAGAGGCGGAGGGGGTTGGGGCTGAGCTGTTACCAAGGGCTCAAGTAGAAAGAATGTGTTTTGAAAATGATGATGGCAACATATGTACAAATGTGCTTGACACAATGGTTGTATGTATGGATTATGATAAGTCCTGTGAGAGCCTCCAATAAAATTACTTTTAAAAAGTAACAATAACTCCATATATTAAAACGTTTGTTTAGCAAAAGAAAAAAATAAAGAGGTCAGATGTCACCCCTTCCTCACCATTTTTGCATCTTGTACAAATTCATAAGCCCTATAACAAGCAATCTCCTTTCCATATATTTACCATGAAGATATTTTCTTTATTTCCAACAGGAGACATTTATAATAAATAGCATCATTTACAAGAACAATGACAGCAAAAATACTGGGAAAAGTGCCGAAATATGCACTAAAAGGAGAGATGATAAAGATATGTCTTGATATAACTTACAATGATGTAACAAACCACACAAAAATGACGATTTAATTACTGTTACATGCAATGATATAAGTTTTAGAAACATATTATTAATGGGGGAGGGGGTGGGGGAATCAACGAATCTTAGTAGGGAATGACACCCTTGTGTGTGTGTGTGTGTGTGTGTGTGTGTGTGTGTGTGTGACTCCAATAAATTAGAGACTCAAAGAGAGAGAGAAAACTGGAAAACAAGAGTGGTGTCCTGTGCATATAAGATAGGTCATAATCCAAAGTCTAATTTTAAAGCATGTTAGGATACATACTAATATATATTCACATTACAAAGTTGTTACATACATATCATACCAGGCAATGACAAGGCAAATAATAACACTTAAGATTCACAGATATGTATCTTAATGATCAAGAAGCCTTAGTGGCGCTGTTGGGTAAACATGGGACCGCTAATTTAAAGGTTGGAAGTTCTAACCTACAAGCCTATTTGAGAGAAAGATGAATTGATCTGTTTCCGTAAAGATGTACTCAGTAAATCAGAAACCCTATGTAGGGTCACTATGGGTCAGAATCCACTCAGCAACAATAAATATGATCACACAGCATGTTGATGGGATAGGCAAGGGTTGTGAAAAGAAAACATTTAATTTTTAAATTAATTTATCCATGTAGTCTTAGCTGATATTTTCATGTTTAACCATACACTCAATTCCTTTCTGTCATGTTCTGGACAACTGATTCTAAGGCTGAGAATCAAATAGTGTATTTAACCTAGATGATGAATCTTAATACCTTTTGTACATAATTATGGATCTCAAGATAAAGATTAGACTCCATAAAGACTGACTCCATATGCATGAACTCAACTCCAGAAGAAAATTATTCTTGAAATACTTGATGAAGACTGCCTACAGAGAATGTAGGAAATAAGAAACCAGTTAATGAGGAGCTTCTAAACACAGTGGATTCTTTCTCTCAGAGAAAGAGACCAGTTTGGATGCAGGAAAAGGGGTTGGGTACCAAATCTATAAACACCAGGCTGGTACCCTGACAGCCAATGTCATGCAGCTTCCTGAAAATGCATCAGGTTTTCTTCTACCTCAATTATTCTCCCTAGGAATTGTAAAAATAGCAGAATCTGTTTTCAAATCTGAGCCCAACTAAAAACTACTGACTGCTGAAAAGGAAGCATTCGCCTGGCTCTTCTATCAGGAAGGAAAAAAGTAGTAGTGGGAGCTCGTCTCATCTGCCCAGGATAAGCCGTCAAGGAACTAGAAGCTGCGCAGTGAAAACAAGGGCCCTCTCGCTATCTCTGACTTGTTATGTTCCAAATTAGTACCTCTGACCTTTTCTTAAAACGTTAAGCATCACAAGGAGATCAGCAGGAATCATGTGCTGACCAAGAACTTAAAGGGCAGAAAATCTCACGGTAGTGAAAGGGGATTATTAAAGGGTGGAGAAGCAGGCCAGCCCCTCCCAGTGTGTGTGTGGGGGGGCGGGGGGGGGGGCAGACTTGGGATTAGTTATCAGACTGCAACTGGCACGTAATTAGCAGTGCTGACATCAGGGGGCCAGCAAATATAAAACACTCCTTGGTAGGAGACCTTCAGCAGAGAAACGGCTCAGGAGCTGAAGGTACTCTCTGGGGAGTGGGTGGACTCCCGCCAAAGCTCCCTGAGGATGTGGACTTTAAATCCCAGAAATTAACTTGCTGGAAATCTGTCCCCCATCCTGCAGCATCACAGTTAAATGTAATTACGGGTGGTGACCCGCTAATGAATGCTTTTGGTAAATGACATCCAGGATAAGTATTTATATATATAAATCAAAATGAAGACTAGGCTAGGAGCTTTAATTACACAGGTATTATACCTGTCAGGTTTTTAAAGGTAAATGACTATTTTTATGAATTCGTTGTGGGAGAGGTCATTTCACAGGTAATGAAAGAATTCTGAAAGTGGGGTGGGAAGGGCTCTTGCCATTTATAAGAGAACCAAAAAAAAAAAAAAAGCACACACAACAAAGGACTTTGGAATAATTGTATTTTTGCTTTCTCCTTTTCAGTGGGATCTGTGTGCCTCAGTCTCCTCTTCGCAGAGGGCTGTTAACCCGAGCCTTGCCCTGCACTGTTGCTTCACGCACCATGAAAGCTTGGAAGCCCTTCTCTCTGGGCTGTGTCTTCTTCCCCCTACTACTGCTGCAGCAGGCCTGTGCTCAGTTCCCAAGAGAGTGTGTCACCACCGAGGCTCTCAAAAGTGGCGTGTGTTGTCCAGACCTGTCGCCTGTGTCTGGGCCTGGGACAGACCCCTGCGGCTCATCATCCGGCCGGGGCAGCTGTGAGGCGGTGACGGCAGACTTCCGACCCCACAGCCCCCAGTACCCCCACGACGGCAGAGATGACCGAGAGCGCTGGCCCACCCGGTTCTTCACCAGGGCGTGCCGGTGTAACGGCAATTTCTCAGGCCACAACTGCGGGACTTGCCGTCCTGGGTGGAGAGGTGTGGCTTGTGACCAAAGGATCCTCATAGGTAAGTGGGAGGTGAGCTGGGCGTCCAGCCGTGTGGGAGGGCTTCGGGGTCTTCACAGAATTCTAGGTCAAGTGGTCTGTAGGAACGCTAGGAAAACATGTAGCCCGAGGGTCCTTTGCCCAGAGAGGAGAAGGAGGCTTAGACTGGTTAATAAACTTAACTCAGGCTTACCAGATTGGAGGAGATGCTCAGACATGAACGCTTACTGTATAGCCTGTATATGCTGGGCATCGTGGCACATCTTTCTGCCCTGTCTTCTCAGGGTAGCTATTTTCATTGCCATCCACCAGTTGCTGGCATGTCAATTCTGACTCCTGGCAATCCCAGGTGTGTTCGAGGAGAACTGTGCTCTGCCAGGTTTTCAATGGCTGATTTTTCAGAAGTAGATCACCAGGTTGGAATCAAATCTCCAACCTTGGGGACAGTCGCCAAGCTTGTTCCCCTATTGCCCACCAAACTTACACAACTGGTCACTGAAAAACCTGGGATTCACACTTGGATTCGCCCCACTCTTTTTCTACTACCCTCGATGTCTCATGGTGAAACTTCCCATTGAGATGATCAAATTCAGGAAGTTGAGCTGGTGAGTCGCCTTGCGGGATGGCACTGTGTAAGAAAGCACTCAAAAATAACAGTGATCCGTGCCCTATGTGCTGGACACTGGACCAAGAGGTTAACAAAGCGTTCATTGAGCAATGATCATGAGCCAAGCCCTGATCTGTTTTGTTGTTGTTGTTGTTGTTGTTGTTTTAGGTGCACTTTAATCTTTACAACAATTCTATCAAGCAGATCTTCATGTCCAGGTTCACAGATGAAAAACCAAGGCTTCAGGAAAGCCTTCCAGGGTCACAGAATAAATCTCTGGTCTTAACTGCTATGATGGACCACCAATCTTGTTTTTGAAAAATGTATTCTATTAAACCCATAGAAGCCCTATAGGACAGAGCAGGACTGCTCCTTGGGGTTTACGAGGCTATAAACCTTTATGGGAACAGACAGCCTCACCTTTCTCCCTGGAAGGGGCTGATGGGACCGAACCACTAACCTTGAGGTTAGTAGCCCAGTGCTTAACCCACTGTGCCACCAGAGCTCCTTATTATATCAAAGAGTGGCAGAAAATTCCAAAGCAATGCCAATAGTGAGGAGAAACCAGTATCACTGGATGCCAGACTTATAAAAACGTATAAGTAAGATTAGAGATAGTTCATAAAAACCCTAGTGCAAGTTGGCTTCCCAGGAAGTAGGGAATGTGAGAGTGAAAAAGAAAGACAAGTGCTACTATTTTTCCTTCTGAAAGGAAAGGAAAGGATTTAAAGCAGATCGGAATGTATACACAGACCAGGAATGGGGAAGGGGGTATGATGTGCTACATGATGATTGTAACCCTTCTCAGCCCATGCCCACAAGGCAGACGTTTACAGGGTTGGATTTTATCTCCTCACAGTCAGGAGAAACCTTCTGGACTTCAGTGCCCAAGAAAAGAGCCACTTTGTCCAGGCCCTCGACATGGCCAAGCGCACAACTCACCCCCAATTTGTCATCGCCACCAGGAGATCCGAAGAAATATTGGGGCCGGATGGCAACACGCCACAATTCGAGAACATTTCCATTTACAACTACTTTGTCTGGACACATTACTACTCAGTCAAAAAGACCTTCCTTGGGACAGGACAGGAGAGCTTTTCCGAAGTGGATTTCTCTCATGAAGGGCCCGCTTTTCTCACCTGGCACCGATACCACCTCCTGCAGCTAGAGAAGGACATGCAGGTAAGCATGGGGTATTTTGACTTCCCAGACCTGTTGCAGGCGAGGTGCCTCGTCTGCAAACGACTTGAACGCACGCTTGTCCTGAATGAGAAGGAGGTGAAATGAGAAACAGAACAAGACAAAAACCTTCACGTGTCTGCCTTTGACAGTCACTGAAACTTTCCCCGGGGCTAATTATCTATCTAGTTAATTCATCTTCATATGTTGTGGAAGTGAGATGGATGTAATATCCATGAGGAGGAGGCCAATGGAGATTATTTCTAGGTGTGAATTAAAGCTTTGGAAATGTTCTACCCCTCTGTAATTGAATAATGATACTCAGAAAGTTTGAGTCAAAAGAATCCCAATTAACAAGCCAGTCGTCACCACCAGGAGTCCTGGTGGCATAGAGGGGCTGGTAATCCTCAAATCAGCAGTTTGGAATTACCAGCTATTCCCAAGCAGAAAGAGGAGGCTTTCTGCTCGCGTGAAGATTTACAGGCTCTGAAACCCACAGGGACAATTCTCCTCTGCCTGGTAGGGTTGCGATGAGGCAGCAGCAGCAAGTTGATGGGTGGCAGTCAGTTTGCAGTGAGTTTCTTCACCATCAAGTGAAGCCCTATCCTGGCCTGGGTGAAGGAGCACCCTGAATAGCCTTTCACCCCATCATCCCAATGGATGGTTCTTTCCAATGTGGTAGATGATTTCAATGCAAAAAAAAAAAAAAAAATCTCCATTTGTCACGTTTTCTTACACTCCACATTTTTTCTCATGCCCTTTATCACTGTGAAGTGTTTTAAAAATAATATTAAAAATTGAAAAATTTACCTAAGATATGAATGAGAATTGACTTGTTGGTTTGTTTGGACTTTCATCAGGCATTATGTCTAGGCAAAAGGCTTTGACTTCATTTGACATAAAGTAAATTTCAGTTTAAGTACAATGGTTTCTTGCTTAGTTTCTGAGCAGATAACTCAAAGTCAGGCCTAGTATTACTTAAAAGATGTACTAGTGGCATAGCGGTTAAGAGTTCGGCTGCTAACCACAGGTTAGCAGTTCAAAACCACCAGGCTCTCCATGGGAGAAGGATGAGGCTTTCCACCCCTGTTAACATTTACAGTCTTAGGAACCCTCAGGGGCAGTTCTACCCTGATCTGTGGGCTCACTGTGAGGCAGGATTGGCTTGATGGCTGTGAGTTTGAGAGTTTCAATCAGTTGACATAATAGCTTGTTGTTGTTTCTTTTACCAATTGCTACATCTCTTGAGGGAGAGCATGGTGATTTTAAGGTAAAATTGAAAATGATTAGATCAGACTAGAAAAGCTACAATTTAAACTGTTCCCTGTGTTAAGACAGCAGCAACATCAAGACCCCGGTCTCCTCACACTCCCCATCAAGAAAATACGAACACTCAGCCAAAAACGTCTGAAGGCAAAGAGGTGTTTGGGGTCATGTATTGATTGTGAGAGTGCTGAACATTATTTAAAAGATAAATAGTTGGAAGGTGAGGAATTAATGCACTAAAAGATGGGCTAAAATATTCTGACGAGAGTAGTCTCTGCAGACATAACTTGGGAGTGATTGAACACTTTGGACTTTGTTTTATGGCTCTGATCACAGTTCAGACATTTAGTGGATCATGAGTAGATAAATCTGTCACTCGTAATTGACTCCAGATCTGGTTGCCTCTAGCTTATTTTCCCATGGGCGCACTGTAATGGAAGGGCGGGGGAAGGTGTCTAAAAGCTTCAATTCCGCCTGTGTAAACTTCAACCTCCATGACATACACTTTAAAATCTCCACTGCACACGGGATCCAAGAAATTACGACGTAATTGTACTGCACAGTGAAAATGCCACATGAATGTGTTTCAGCTCCTGAATGTCAGCTGCTGGACCACAAACAGACTCGTAATGAACCCTGGGAAGCTGTCACTGATTTTTGTGAGCCAGAACGAAAGTTTCTAAATGAGGAGTCTAAACTCCTGGGGATCCTTCGCTGGGAGAGCATTTGTTGAAGGCTTTGGGCCCTCTGAAAACACACCGAGGACACGGAAACGCTTCCTAGAAAGTAGGGGTTTTTCAGAGTAAAAGAAAGAAATGCGCTAGAGCTTGAGAAGTGAGATAAAACAATGGTAACCCCGCCATTGAGATCCCACCATCCAAACTCACCTCCTCCCAGGCCCAAAGCAGGGAGGAACAACAAGGGAACGTAAGTTTCTAAGAGCCCCATACCATGACCATGCAATCCTGAGAACAGCACTTTTTAAAATGGGAGATCAGCTCTAAATTCATGAGTGGAAAGCAATATTCTGCTGCTGTTGAGTATTTCTGGTTTGTGTGAGTTTCAGGCCTTGTTAAGCTCTGAAACAGGGATCTCAAAAAGGGCCTCTGGTATAGTCCCCACACCAGGAACCTACAAGCTGAAGACTCTGTGTGGCTGGTGGCCTCCCCAGAACCAAACTGACTGGGGTCATTTGAATTTATTTAAAAACAAAACAAAAACACCAGTGTGCACAAAACACAGATGTCAAGGCTGGAGCTGTCCTGCCGGCAAACTCTTAGTGACACTTGAATTAGAGAAAGCAAAATTAGAAGTAGATGAAATGTCAAGGTTTAAAGTTCCTATTAGCGAGTGTTGGTAAAATGAATAGAAATGGAATCGCCAGCCTATGTACTAGATAAACTTGTGTAAAAGCTACGTTTTTCAACACATTTTTATGCAGTTTTTGTGGTACAATGAGGGGCCTCGGCGGATATTCGGGTGGGCTTATTCTGAGCATATACGGTAATGCAAAACAAACACCAAAAAGCTCAGTGCCATCAAGTCAATGCAGACTCCTCATGGCCCTCCAGGATGGACGGGGACTGCACCTGTGGGTTCTAAGGCCCAATACATAACCCACTAGGCCAGTGGCTCTCAGCCTTCCTAATGCCGCGACTCGTTAACACAGTCCCTCACGCTGTGGTGAGCCCCCAACCATAAAATTATTTTCATTGCTACTTCATGACTGTCATTTTGCTATTGTTCTGAATTGGATTACCCCGGTGAAAGAGTCATTTGACCCCCAAAGGGGTCCCAACCCACAGGTTGAGAACTACTGCACTGTGGCCCTAACTCTTTATGAGAATAGAAAGTCTCATCTTTCTCCTGTGGAGGAGCTGGTGGTTTTGAACTGCTGACCTTGTGCTTAGTAGCCCAATGTGGAACCACTACACCACCACATCCAAACCAAACTTACTGCCATTGAATTGATTCATACTGACCCTTTAAGACAGGGCGGGTTTCAGAGATGCACTCTTTACAGGAATAGAAAGCCCATGGAGCAGCTGGTGGCTTTGAACTGCTGACCTTATGTTTAGGGGCCCAATGCAGAACCCAGTAGCCCACCCTGCCTCCTTAAATAATTGAAAAGCAAGACCTTTTCTTTTTTTTCCTTGAAAAAATACTCTGCAGAAACTCCTGTTTCATGAGCTGAATTCCATTCCCTCGAATGCCCCAAAGGGCTGTCAGGGAAAATTAGTCTTTGTGAAATAGATGTTTAACTCCTTCAGGCCTTTCAGCCACTACTGCGGATACGCTCACGGATCCCCAAGTGACTGGACAGGACTAATGGAAACGGACTGCCCGCGCGTAAACCAAGCGCAGAGGGAGGGTTTTAGACCGAGCCGGACGGTCCTAACTGAATGTCTTTTAACTAGGAAATGTTGCAAGAGCCTTCTTTCTCCCTTCCCTACTGGAATTTTGCTACCGGGAAAAATGTCTGCGATATCTGCACCGATGACTTGATGGGATCAAGAAGCAACTTTGATTCTGTCCTTCTAAGTCCGAATTCGGTCTTTTCTCAATGGAGAATAGTCTGCGAATCCGTGGAAGACTATGACACTCTGGGAACCCTTTGTAACAGTAAGTTCCAAATGATAGCGAGGAATAAGACTTCCTGATTAGCTAAGGACATTAAATACGCTGCCAGGAAGGTCCCTCGTCTCTTTGAGACTGTAGACTGTGACGATGGGGAATCATTGAACATTTCATCTATTCAAAGCAACCTGGCAAGGCACTGTGGGGGAACAGAGTCCTTGCCTGTATACATTTCTGGGGTAATTCATCTGTACATTGCTGCCTTGCTTAGTTTCGAAATGTCCAGTTGCCAAACTTAATCCTCTTAGTACACTCAGCATGGCTTAGTAGTCATGTGTCTGGTGTTGGACTCTCACAGAATGTTTCTGTAGACAACCTGGAAGACACAGAACGCGGGGTAGAACCCCCAAAGGGGATGTGGAGGCTACCTTTAAGAAGATGCAGCTGATGTTGACCATCGATGTATAAAAAGGAGCAGAATGCATTCAATAGTCTCTCTAATGTAATCCTTACAGGAAATCTTTATTTCTGCTACTTTCATTCTTCGATGAGTTTATTTGTCCTCATGGCTTCATTGATCATGGTTTTGCAAAAGACCCATACATGGATATACTTAGGTTAAACCTTAATTAGGCATTCCATTACTACGCTCCTTATACACTCGTTGAAACATTTTATTAATGCACCAAACTCAGTATACTGAAAAAGTGAATTACGGATACTGGCATTTTCTTCCAGCCACTGCGGCATCCTATTGGATTCATCCCATGAAAAACACAGCCAAGTTCCTTCTTCACAGTCTCTCACGAGACCATCTTCTCCCTCAGACACTCAGCACCACTCATTCACAGCGGCATTTCCTACTAGAAAATTCACCAAGAATCAAATCTATCGGATGTTATTAGGGGCTGTGGCAAATATATTGTGGGAAAGTCCCTGGGTTAAAATGAAACTTGCTTAACCCATTTCTTTACTGCTAGAGTGTTTTACACGGAGGGAAAATCAGGCTGTGATTCTTTGGAAACCTGTTTTCAAATACCTTTTCCTTGGTATTTACTAGTAAATTCCCTAAGCAATAATTTCCAAGCATCCATTGAATTAGTATTTCCCAGCGGTCTCTGAAATTTACTGATGATCACACACACCTAAAGAATGCACATGCATTTCCCAGTCTTGAGATGGGAGTATATTTTATTTATATATCATATCAATACATTTCATGGAGCGAGTTCGTTATAGACTAATCATGATGCTTAGCCTATTAAACGGGATCTGTTTTAAAAGACAATCATTTAGTGTTATCACCTTTGCCTAAAATGTTTGACTCGTAAAAATAAAATTTCTCTTCTACACCTGTGGAAACTTTTCCCAATCCATTGTCAGGTTGCAGGCGGGGCTTCAGAATGCTTTCGAATAGTTTCTTTCAGTCTCCTTTCTCTCTATTTCCATCTCTCTTTCTCCAGAAGGTACTTTCATCACCAAAAGCACCATAGTTCTTTGTTTGCTTGTCTTACTGCCTATAAATAATTTGATTATCTCTCACTGTAACTGTCAAATACAGGTTGATTGAAACATACGCCATTTTCCAAAGAGATTTTTAGGTTTTTTTTCCTGTCCCTCCTCTGCCAGCTTGTTGCAGACAGGATTTGACCACACACTTATTGACATATATTCTGACCTCATTTCCAAATTACTCAGAGGGAACCTTTCTCTTCCTGAAATCTTGTGCTGTAGAAAGTCAACTTTGAAGGGCTTTAGCGTAGAACTTCTGGGATTTACAATAGCCTTGCTTACATTACCGGATAAACACATTTCTAGCAAACACTTTTGAAACGATTATGCAACCGTGTCCTGGTATTTAAATGCATTTTGGATCAGGGAGCCCCGGTGTAGAATTTAGGTTTATGAAGGTAATTTTAGCAAAATTCAATTTTCCATGGAATGTTCTTCTGACTGCATTCTCATGAAAGAGGGGCTGTAACAGACACCTGGAGCTATATCGGGTAATGCAATCTTTTTTTCTTCTTCTTTAGATGATTATATGTATCATGCAGCTATTGCGAGCACAAACATATAGCTTTGTCTCTTCAACTTATTTTCTTTTTCCACTCTGAGGCCACTAAATGTGCATTTTTAAATCTTCTCTGACATACCAAACAACTCTTATCTTTCGGTGGGCGTGCTATGTAGAAGGAGCTTCAAAGAGCAGTGATGAGACATCATTACAGAAATGTGGCCATACCCATCTCTTCCCTCCCAGGCACTGAGGGCGGGCCCATACGGAGAAATCCAGCCGGAAACGTGGCGAGACCGATGGTGCAACGTCTTCCCGAGCCACAGGATGTAGCTCAGTGCTTGGAAGTTGGTTTATTTGACACCCCTCCGTTTTACTCCAATTCTACAAACAGTTTCAGAAACACGCTGGAAGGCAAGTAAACAAAATCGGCACAGAAGTCTTACAAGCCAGGTTTCTTTGAAAGGCTTTGAATGACAGAATGATCCTGTGAATGGATGTCACTGGGGTTGCCTATGATGATGTACTGATCACTCCTCCCTCAGAAAGGAGTCCTGCTGGAGCTGTTGGCTAAGTGATGGATGGCCAGGGGCAAGGTCAGTGGTTGGACCACGCCCAGCTGCTCCATTGCAGAAAGTCCCAAGAGTGACAACCTCATTGACCCAAAGGGGCAGTTCTACCCTGGCTTCTCGGGGTCGCTTTGAGTCGGCATGGATTCGATGGCAGTGGGATTTCTCTCCGCAAAACAACTTTTTTTTCTAATCATTTTATTAGAGGCTCATACAACTCTTATCACAATCCATACATACATCAATTGCATAAAGCACATTTGTACATTCATTGCCCTCGTCATTCTCAAAACATTTGCTCTCCACTTAAGCCCCCGGCATCAGGTCTTCATTTTTCCCCTCCCTCTCCCCACCCCCTCCCTCATTAGCCCTTGATAGTTTATACATTGTTATTTTGTCATATCTTGCCCTGTCCGAAATCTCCCTTCACCCACTTTCCTGTTGTCCATCCCCCAGGGAGGACGCCACATATAGTTCCTTGTAATCGGTTCCCTCTTTCCAACCCACTCTCCCTCTACCCTCCCAGTATTGCCACTCACACCACTAGTCCTGAAGGGACCCAAAACAACTATTTTAAGCAGAAGTATCAGATCATGAAACGTTCTTTTTATCATCATAGATGAGGCCTTCTAACTTATTTTTCATGGACCTAAACATTTGTTGAACTCAAATTTTTAGCTAGCTAATTAACTAACATGAGTAACTATTGTCAAATTCAAGTATCAACAAATACTGTTTAAGATTGTGAGAAGTTGTTTGTTTGTTTATTTTACTTCCAAACAATTAGCACCCACTGAAACTTGGGTTGGGCATGTTTTCTTTAGGTCTGTGTCACCCTGTAACTTTTTTTAAAAATGTCTATAATGGTTCAAATAAGTATATCCTAAGATTTGGTTTGATTTCTTATCCAAAAGTTGGGGAAACTGAGCTCCAATTAGGTAAAATGCCTTTCCTAGCATATTTCATATGTGCTGCTCCATTGAAAGAAATACAGTGATAATTTTCAGAATCATACATTTAACATAAATCACCAAGTATGTCTCAATTTTCTAATGCTTACTTAAAAAATACAGATGCTGAGCAAAGTTATTGTGTTTGGTTGTGTGTGTGTGAGAGAGAGAGAGAGAGAGAGAGAGAGAGAGAAAGAGAGAGAGATTACGAAATTTCTATATAATTGTTTCGACATTTGGCTTTCCAGATGGTTAAAACTAATAGAGAGATGGTGGGAAAGCTTGGAGAAATTGTAACTCCCCCATACCATAAGGTAATTTTCCAAAAATAAACGTGCTGACAGCCATTCCAAAGCAGTAAGGTAGAGACTAAGGAAGCATCTGGCCATTTAAGTTCCAGGACCATCGGAGCGGCATGCTCTCAATTGTGTCAGCAGTTTTAAGTAGATGCTTTATTTTGCTTAGATCACTGTTTGCATTGTCAAAATACAGCAGTCTATAGATTTTGACTGGTTTCTGTCCCAGGTCATTATTTTTACCCTAGAGGCTACATTTGGAATGTCACATTGCTTGCTTAAAAATAACCTAGCTTGGGATACAGCAAGTGTCACCAACCATACATACTGAGAAGCAATACAATTATTTTAGGGCAAATAGTGGCCTGACAATCTTTGGGGCAGGGGGTGGGTTTCTCAATATAATCACCCCCATTGACTTTGAAAGTGAAACATTTGCAATGGTCGTTACTATTTTCATCCTTACTTTTCTATCTAGGTTACAGTGATCCTACAGGAAGGTATGACCCCGTGGTTCGAAGCCTTCACAACTTGGCTCATCTCTTTCTGAATGGAACAGGGGGACAAACTCATTTATCACCAAATGATCCTATTTTTGTCCTCCTGCATACTTTCACGGATGCGCTCTTTGATGAATGGTTGAGGAGATATAATGCTGGTGAGACATTTTCCTATGTTGTTTGCAGGCTCAGCGAATGGGATTGTTCAGATGGCATAGCATTCGTAAAGGCTAAGCACTTGGCACACATAAAGTGCACTTCAAAATTAGGATCAAAAGGTGTAATTCTGAGCCCTTTTCAAAATATTCAAAATCCCTTTGCAAATGCAGGCAAGAGCACTCTCAGAATAGTTTTTATAACAGTTATCACCCTCCACTCAGACTAAGCACGTAAACCCTTCTCGTGTTTACTCTGAAAAGAAGGCTACCATGTTTCTCCAATGTTTCTTCCCCTTATCTTCCTACAAACATTCGCATTGCTTTTACAAATGAAGAAGAATATCTGCAAGGGATCACAATAGAAGGTCTTAGGTAGAGGTGGGAAAAATATAGAGCCAAACTCATGGTTTCAAGCTTAATGGTTTCACAGACTCGTGGTACCCCTAAAGCTATGAGACTTCAAGTCTGGAATTGAACTTACCCTGGGGCTCGACCCTCCATCAAATGATAGACTTAGAAGGTCAACAATCACGTTAGGACATGCTCACTCACTAGGACAATCAATCCCAGGAGATCAAAAGGGCAGCATTTTCCCATGGAGGGATCAGAAAGAAGGAAGAAGGTATAGGTAAACACAAGGAAAAAGTGGGGCAAGTTCTGTGATACTGTGGAGATTGCAGTTAACATCATACACCAAAATGTATATGAACTGTTGATTAGGAAGACAATTTGTTCTAAGAATTCTTGCCCACATCACAAACATATGTGAATACATGAGGGAGCTTCAAAATGTACCTGGGGAAAAAATCCCATTATCATTTAATTTTATTTTTTCATGGACTTTTCAAAGCCCGTGTGTGTGTGTGTGTGTGTGTGTGTGTGTGTGTGTGTGTGTGTGTGTGGTGTTAGGCTCAGTTGACTAGAGAAACAAATACAATGACAATCATGTATATATATGAAAGAGCTTTACATCAAGAAGTAATTCTATATCAAAAAGGCACCCCAAGCCCAGTCCAACTCAAGTCCGTGAGTCTGATACTATTTTATAAGTCCGTCTTCTGACGCGCGCGCGCAGCTACATGCAATGATGCAGCATGCAGGAAGACCACAGGCCTGTGGGTGCAGAGATGTGTGGATCCAAGGTGGCAGGAAATAAGGCAGAGTTCCCGTAGCTCTCGGGGTCAGTACTGCAGTCCCAGCAGGCAGAAAGGTCAGAGGACATGCAGTTCCAGTGTTTCACCCTTTTATGCCATCAGGAAGTCATCACGCTGCTGCTTAATTAACAGGTTTGACACCGGCCCTACACTTTCATAATCTTCAAGTTGACATAAAATTATCTGACTACCATATACATATAATCTAAATTACACACACATATATTATATATATTAGAGAGAGAGAGAGAGAGAGAGAATGAGTGTGCGTGCCCTGGTGGCATAGTGGTTTAAGCATTGGTCTGTTAAGCACAAGGTCAGTGGTTCAAACCCACTAGCATCTCTGCAGGAGGAAGATGAGGCTTTCTCAGAAACCCTGTGGAGCAGTTCCGCTCTGTCCTCTGGGCTCTTCCATGAACTGGAAGCGGCGAATGGCAGTGGGGATCTATATGGGGAAAGCGTGCAGAGGTCTTCCACGTCTCCAAAGACTGACACCGTCATGCTCCTCCCACACAGTGCTCCGCAGACTCTCAGGAATGGAAATCTTGTTCAAAGTGAAGGTTTAAAGCTGGCTTTCCTAACATGCCAAAGGAAATACATTTATTTTAAATGACTTATTTAAAACATCTTTAAGGGCTCTCACTTTTGTTCCTACTCGGCCCAGAGGTTTATATTACTTTTGAAGACATGGAAGTGCTTCTGTTGCTTAAAACAGCATAAATTGGTCCTATCTGGAAAGTATTTTAAATGTTGGTTTCTGGGCCTTTACTGCTTCATGCATAGGACCTAACACTGGAGATGAACTATTTTTCTATACAGCCAGACAGCCATTCGGTTGGTTTCTTATTTCCCTGTTGATTGTGTGTGTGTGCAATCAAAAGAAAGAAAACTTCAAACTCACTGCCATTGAATCCATTCCAACTGATAGCAGCTCTACAGGGCACAGCACTGCCCTGATGGTTTCTGAGACTGTAACTCTGTCTGGGTTTAGAAAACCTCATCTTTCTCCCTTAGAGCAGTCGGTGATTTAGAACTGCTGACCTAGGGTTTAGCAGTGCAATGAGTAACTATAGCACTACCAGGTCTCCTTGTGTGTACAACAGAAGCCTCAAATTCAAACTAACTAGGACCATGAATTGATACATTGGTCAAAATAATTGTATCCATCAGAAAATCATTTAAGAAAGAAGTTAAACTTACACATGCATTCACTTGTCTATCCGTTAGTGAAAAGCCACGAACCATTCTTTGGGCAAGAATCGACTGACTGCAGTTATAATCCATCTTCTATGTGTATTTACTTACAATGGTAATAAATAATTTGTTTTTGACAGTGAAATAAGTAATGAAAGGCAATCTGCATGTAGAATTATTCTAGTTTTTTAAAGCCCCTGATTAGTGGTATGACTATAGCCTACCAAAGATAGGAAAGTTGAAATCCAGAAAATCAAGGCAATTTTGCTGAGTTTCAGCCCTCCCAAGCTTTACTGTATATGGAAAATGCTTTCCTATGCTTTAAAGAAGCACTGTGACTGTCCATGTGGGGCACCTCTTGCAAATACAACTGAAGAGCTCACTAGCCTTCTCCCTTTTCTCTCAGTTGGATCCTACCCAAACCCACTTCCAACTCTAATGTGTGATATCCCATTTTGTAATTAATGACACAACCATAAACATAGTAGGGGGGGGAGTGTTTTTGCAGCAAAGAACATAACATTATTTTTCTTCTGCTAATAGAAACATTAAAAATACAAGTTCACGTGGCTTTTATTAAGACAGGAAGAGGAGAACAGTGGCAGCATACCAATGGTATTCCAGGTCAAGAACTCAAAAATTTTAAGCACATTTTGGCCAATATAATAAAGACTCCCCCCAGTAAAGTTATATCTAAGGATTTAGTATACTATAAAAGTTAACAGAGAAATGAAAAACGTATAGGTTAAACAGAAAAATCTACAACGGAGAGAAGTATTCTTGGATACACTTTCTCATTTAAATTACAGATGAGGCTGTAACAAATGGAAAGGTCTTCTTTTCTTAGGTTTGATAAAGAAAGACATGACTTTTATTCACATCAGTGTCTGCAACGTAAAAATAAGATAACGGACGATCATCACGGATGATAAAATGCTAAATCTTCCCTGCTTTTAAATGCTCTTTTTCTACTGGGTGATATGTTGCTACTGTACTGCAAACATGTGAACTCTATTTCACGTGTTTCCCCGTCCTCCTCCCATAAAACTGATTTGTATTTTTAATCTCACTGTAAAGCATGAAAGAACTATCCCCCTCCCCCCCAGCCCCATGTGCTCTTGAATGCTCTGGGAAATCTTTCAAAAACAGGGGTGACATTCATATTAACTTGGTTCGGCTACCAACAAGTTGTCTTTGGCCTATTTTAGATATATCCTCGTTCCCACTGGAAAATGCCCCCATTGGACACAACAGACAATACAACATGGTGCCTTTCTGGCCTCCGGTCACGAGCACCGAGATGTTTGTTATGGCGCCGGACAACCTGGGGTATGCGTATGAAGTGCAGTGGCCGAGTGAGTATATATCGCCTTCATGTCCGCTGTAGACAGCTCCAGTGTTCTCTTTGAAGCCCTCACAGCAGCACAGGCTCGCCGGAGGCACAAACAGTGAGGCCATAGACAACCGTGTGGGACACAGTCCTGTTCCCCTGGACTTGGCGTCACCATGAAGCCAAGTTCACTGGAAAGCCACTGGTCTGAAGCACAAATTGGCAAGGCTGACCTTTTCCATTTGTATTTGGAAGCTTTCGTGTTGCTTTTTATCTTGGAATAAAGAAAGGGCCTTTAATATTGATTGCTAGCAAAGTGGAACGTGGTGTTGAGCTAACTAGGTAGCATGCTATCTCATTTCATCTGCACAACCCGATGGAGTAAATATCATGACCCTCGTTATCCTTATCAGGTGAGGAAGGCTTAAGTCAGTTCATGCTCAAAGATCACAATTCTCGTAAGTGAAAAAACTGAGTTCTGAGCTTAGCCATGTGGATAAAACCAAAATCACTGCCACTGAGTCGATTCCGACTCATGGTGACCCTATACGGCAGGGAAGAGCTGTCCCCATGGGTTTCCGAGATTGTAACTGTTTACAAGAGTAGAAAGCCCCCTTTTTCTCCCTCAGATGTGCTGGTGGTTTTGAACTGCTGACTTCACATTTCAAAGCCCAACTCATCACCACTATGCCCCCAGGTTTCCTCAGGTGCCTGGGTCAGGGTAACGTTGTTTACTGTACACGGCCACCTCTCCTAAACTGAGAGAGAGTGAGGTACTCTGACGATCTCTCCTGAGATTTTGAAATGGAAGACTTTATTGTTTCATTTTAAGTGTCTTTCTCAACAAAGGCAGTAAAGGCCTAATGGAAGAGCAGAGGTTTGAGATTTGGGTAAGATGGGGCTCCCAAAGCAACTGTACCCACTTATTAATCTAGTGGTTGTGTGGACGAGTGAGAATAACCATATCCATCCCCAGAACAGCCATTCATTGTGACCGGAGGAACTGATGCCCGAGAGGGGCGCTATAGTGGGCACTGTGTGCTGCTAAAAACTAAATAAACATGAGGATTTCTGCATCTGGGCTTCAATTTGGGGTGGCATAGCAACTATTTTATGACTTACTTTTGCTCTCCATGTCTCTTTGCAACAGGCCGGGAGTTCAGTATTTCAGAGATTGTGACCATAGGCGTCATTGCTGCCTTGCTCCTGGTCGCCCTCATCTTTGTGGGCGCTTCTTGTCTGGTTCGTGCCAGGAACAAAATGGACGCAGCCAATCAGCCGCTGCTCTCGGATCAGTATCAACACTATGCCGATGACTATGAAAAACTCCAGAGTCCTAACCAATCTATGGTCTGAAGACCATTGACCTCCTCCCTTGATATTTGCTACCGAAATTCATTCCTATCACAAAACCACCCGGTGGAAAATAATAGATCGGTCACTGCTCCTCTCTTTCACTGATATTGTCTTTCCTACACGATGCGTAGGTTACAGTTTAGGCTCCAGAAGTGCTTTTCCCGACTCGGATAGAGTCATTAACATGCTTTCCAAAGGGCTGTGTCTATCAGCGCTCTTTAAGCCGGTGGCTTGGCACCAAGTGGGTGGATGCTTTTTAAGCAGACTTGTGTGAACATCATTGGTATCTTTTCAGGGTCGGCTTCTTGCTAATTTAAATAAACAGCTGTGCTTTGTGTAGGTTTATGTGCCATGGTAAAACAAAATGATTGATAGTAAAGCCCTGTTTAAAATGCATGAGTAGGCATTTCTACAGTGTTAAGATGTACGTGCATTCTTAACATCGATCAACAGATACAAAATTAGTTAAATTGCGTGGGATGGTAAATGGAATTCACAGTAGTAATTTTTATTCAAATTTGTCTTACCATCTGGGCAGCAACATATATTATTTAGTCTAAAACTCAAGATTAAAACAACAAAATTTTTGTCATACTTTTGAACAGTTGTTTAATTATACTGTGTTTAAGAGACAGCTGTTACTACCTGTGTACTACCATGGTTCCTTTACCTTCCAATTTACTGTAAAAGGACTACCCATCCCTATATGAGGGGACTTCAGAAAGTTCATGGGAAAAGATGTAGTTAAAAGAAAAACATTTTCCATGAATTCTTTGAAGCCCCTTCAAATTTCACTCTCCGTCCTCTTCTAGTACGCCGGAGGTTCACAAGGAAGCTTTGTAAGAGGAGACTACACCTCACAGTGTTCCACAAATAACAATCATCTCATTGTGTCTAACACACAGAACACCCACTTATCATTTACCAGGTTTTTATGTAGTGTATTAATTAGTCTGGGTACTTTGGAGAAACAAATCCACAGCAACTCATGTATAAGAGAGTTTTATGTAAAGAAAATGTGCATCACAAAAACATCCCAACCCAATGCTGCCCAAGCCCACAAGTCCAACATTAACCCATTTACCCAACACCAGTCCACAAAGTCCTCCACCTCACAAAACAGAGGCAATGATGCCGACTGCAGGAGGAAAGCTGAGTCAGTGAACGAATAAGCATCTCAGCACTAGCAGGACTCTCCACACAGCTGCTCCAGCACCCAGAGCTGCATCGGGATATGTCCATGTAGCTTCTCCTTGGGGATGTCTTGTAGGAAGTCAATCTTACAAGCTGAAGCAGGGAACTGCTAAGGCAGCTGCACCCTGGTGCGACCATCACAAAGCAAGAGACCCGAGAACTAGAAAGGTGAGTCTCACCACCCATTTATCCCTCCGCCTTTCAATTAGCCCCCACATGTGATTATCGGCCAGGCTGGCACAATTAACTAACTCATGTAGTTTCACACATATGTTGCTTAAAACATGTATCACTAATCACTTTTTCTATGCCATTCTAATAGAATGCTATCCCCCCCAACATAGTAATTTAAATTGATTTTAAAATAACAATAATCATACACTACAAAAAATGGTTAATTTTTATACATAATAAACAAAATTCAATAAACAGAAACTAAGTTAAAGTTATGTACACTTGAATGGACATAGGGATTTCCCCACCCCCACCCAAAAAATAGCCTGAAGGTCATATACACAAGATAAACAGACAAAATATGTTAGCAAATAAATATATATCCATGATCAGATTTTTTAAAATTTTCAGACAATATTACTTACTGTGATCTCTTGGAATGCAAGCTGATTTATTGAAATATTATAAACCCAAAGCTTTTTATATAAGTTGTTCCAAAATGAAACAATGCCCTCCATTTCATATTTTTGAGAGCTGTACTAATTACTCAATATTTATGAAGCACATATACATATCAGTCATAGTTCAAGACACTGGGGGTTTCTGGGAAGGAAAATTCAAAGATAGTAAAATTGAAAAATGACATTTGGCTTGGGTTTCAAGTGTGTACATTGGGCTTCCCAAATACAAGGATAGGAAAGAGCATGGAATTCAAAAGGGACAGTATAAACAAAGGCACAGAATTTTGAAAGAATATGGAATATTCAAAAATGTGAAATGGATCGTTGCCTAGATCATAGCTTAAAGAATACTGAGGGAAAAAATGTGCATAAAATCTTTAACTGTACAGAATCCTAAGAAATTTGGATTTCATTCCATAGCAAGGGAGGAAGAGAGGTGAAGGTAGAAACATAAGCTTGTATATTACAAAGATATTGGTGGTGGTGATGATTGTAGACAATATTAGGCAGCAATAGCTTAGAATGGTCAGAATACTTTATATGTAATAGTTTATGGCAGAGAGGAGGAAAACCTGCCCTGAAACATTTTGTAAAGTTCTACAAATTCTATTGTCTTTTAAAAGTAGTCTGTATTTTAATCTTATGAACAGAGTTTGATCACTTTCCTTAGCATTGTTTTTTTATTTTTCTTGCATGGAAGGACATTGGGTTATCTTTCTACCTACTATAAGTTCCGTAACATCTTCTAAATTGATCATTAAAAATGAACAACAACCCCCCCCAAAAAAAAAAAAAACAACTCACTGTCATTCAGTGGAGTCTAAACCTCTAGGACAGCGCAGAGCTGCCTTTCTGAGTTTCCAAAACTGTTCATCTTTCCAGAAGGAAAAAGCCTCATCCTTCTCTGGCAGAGCTGCTAAGTTTCAGACCTCCGTCCTTGCGGTTGGCAGCCCAACACATAACCATCACACCAGCCGGGCTCTTTCAGGGGACGGTCACTCTCTTATAATGTGCTGGCTATGCTGTTAATTGCAAGCAAGGGTCATGTGCAATCTTGGAGATATTTGCACTGTACCTGCCCCTCCAGTTCTCCTATTAAACACAGGAAATGAGACTCAAATGTACTCGTTGGAAAAGCAAATTCCATACCATTCATTCCTGCTGGTGTAAGCATATCAGTGTCACAAGTTAAGCTGTATGATGGAGTGGATGAAAACACTGGAACTTTTCCATTCAATAAATATCAATTATTCTTGTGGTCTAACAAGTTATATCCTATATTCATTCCCAAAGCACATTTTAGAAACAGTGCTCCCTTACAACTCCACACAATTTTTGCAACTGGATGCAGAGGAAAAGAAATGTTTAGCTATTAAATAAATGTGACAATGGTTAGTTACAGGACATTGTTTTTTGTTTAAATAATTTGATGAGCACATACTTCACTTATCATACCATGTAATTGTTCCATCCTATTAAGAAGAGCTGGGACTAACTTCAGAACATGTTTTTCTTATACTACAAGGTCAACAGTTGGAAATCACCAGCCGCTCCTCAGGAGCAATATGAAGATTTCGACTCCTGTAAAGAGTGTGTCTCAGAAAACTGTGGGGCCGTTCTACCCTGTCCAAAGGGTCAGTGTGGGCTCGAAGGCAGTGAGCTTGATTTGGTTTTGTCAGAGGCACTGAGGTAGTTAGTTTGTTGTGGCAACCTGGCTGATAAACACACGTGGGGTCAATTGAAGGGCAGAGGCTCAGTGAGCCTCACCTTTGGAGTTCTTGGGTCTCTTGCTTTGTGATAGTCGGACCAGGGTGCAGGTGCCTTAGCAGTTCCCTGCTTCAGCTGGCAAGACTG